ACGCCCAATATATAACGGCGTTAGCTTCCTCACTTTCTCGTGAGCCGTCGCGGAGGGTGGGCACGCGTCTCATACTCGTTCTTTCTCTTGTTACTAACCCATTGTTTGTTGCAGGCATTCGACAACCATCAATTTATTTACTGTGCTAATTATTAATTTATTTACTGTGCATATTGTTGTGTCCCCTCTCTTGTTATTAATCCCTTGTATGTTACAGATGTTCGAGAACCATTGGCTTCGATATTTATTTTCTTGTGTACTCTGATCCATTTACTCTGATTTATTTACTCTGATTTCTATACTGTGATTTATTTACTGTGTATATTATTAATCTATTTACTGTGCATATTGTTGTGTCTCTTCTCTTGTTACTAATCCATTGTATGTTACAGATGTTCGAGAACTATTGGCTTCGATATTTATCTTCTTATGTCCTGTGATTCATTTATTGTGATTTATTTACTGTGCATATTATGTATTCTATGTGTATTGTATAATGAACAATTTTTTTCCAATCAGTTATTCCATCGAAAGAAGACATCGATCAACGTCTACATCTTCAAAGCGTGCGTCTACCACTGCGTTAAGTTACTGTAAGTTAAACTTAAATCATAATTCGATATTCATTGTTATATTCATATTCATCATCACATCGTTTATTATTAATTTTAGTCTATCTATTAATAGACTTAAATTGTGATCAGCCATTGTGCATACCAAGTTATTATTAATTCATTTTGCTCGTTGATTTCTCTACACAGACTTGGGGTATGGGCAGTGGGTCTGTACCTATTATGGTACGGGCAGTGGGCCTGTGCACTAAGACTGTTTGCCGATCCCTCTGGTTTCTATTGAGAAGCCAGATATCGGACGTGTTTAGTCTTTGCCTGGTAAGTAGGATTTGGAGTAAAGGCTCGTGCGCGCCTGGGTACAACGTACCCGCCTACGGAGTAGACGGGAGTCTGCTCCGTAAAAGGACTCTGTTTTACAGGGGATCTCGCTTGCACTACCATGCTTGGTCATGACCTGTGCTCGGGTCTGGTACGTAGGTGACCAGCCCAAAGGGCCTGGAAAGTGAGAGATGGATTCGGGTTTGCGAGGTTGCGCCCGTCTTTCCTATTTTCTTAAACCAGGTTCTGGCGACAACACTTTCATCGCGATACTTGTTCATACTGTAGTTTAACGTAGTTCATCGTGGTTCATCGTAGAATTAATTTTTGGCTTGGTATATTAGGTGCGTAAACGAAATGATCGATGGAACTTTTTCCATTCCGTCTATCTCTTTCGTTTTAGTATTAGCGACTACGTTGCGTTTAGTTTAAGTTATTTTGTATTTAATAGCATTAATTCGTATTAATTAGAATATTAAGATAATATTAGTTCTAAGCTGAAGAACGAAGACAACCGACGAGGGAACTTAGTTTTTTATAGGTTTAGGCTCAAGAAAGAAGTCATCCGCCGAGGGATTTTAGTATCGATAGTATTAGATAGTTAAGATTTAAATTATTTATAAGGTTTATTGTGAAAGGTGGGAAGATGTAGAACTTGTGATTCCATCTACCTGCCTTGGGCCTCCACTCGCAGCAACCTCCTCGTGGTGAGGCCTGGGCAATCGGTATTATCATCGGTAAAGTACTGTAAACTGAAGACAATATCGAGCTAATGGCTGCGAACTTAAAATTAATTTCTCTAGTTAGATGAATAAATGTAAGATCGAATATTTTTGGTAAATGTTCTATCGTACATGAAACTTAGATTATTTTAAGACTAAATGTAAGGTAGAAAATCTTTGTTAATTATATGAATACGTGAAGCTGAATAATAAAGTGAAAGGAGTCACGTATATATTCGACTATTTTAATAAATTCATACCTTACAATTGAAATAAAGCTGAAGTAATATCCTGTAGAAGGTTGGCTAGTAGAGCTCTTATTGGGAATGGATCGAATTTTATTATTTACTTACCCGCAATAAATAAAATTATTGTAAATAAATGATGTGTAAATAAAGTTATATATAAAAATTCACCAATTGCCTAAAGGTAATTGATTGTGCGTATTAGGATTCCTATATAAAGTTGTACAATTGTATACAGATTAAGTTTTCTAATTATTTCATATAGGTATGTAATATTTATAGGAATAATCATTTGAAACTCTATTATTGGTTTAGTTTTACTTTGTATTATTGTGATAAGTTATGTATTATCACACCCTAAACACATTTTTTTAAATAGGTACTCATCTCATTTATAAACTACAATCAATTTTTAGCTTTTTGCAGCTTTTCAATTCTATGATTAACCACCTTAAAGATATTTATCATTCTTATGCCCAGAGAGGTTATGACTAACGTAGACATTGTTATAACTTTGTCTGTTTAGATCAGGCCTGTCCAACTTCTGGCCCGCGGGTCATTTCGCCAGACGACGCGGTCCCCACCACCACTCAGTCCATACCCCACTACTCGCTTGCGCTGCGATGCGATCGCTTGGCAAGAGGTACGTGCGGGTAGGAATTTCTGGAGCGTCAGAAGTGGGGACAGTCAGAGCATGTACACACGCTTTCTTTTCTCTATACGTCGGGCTTCTTGTGGATATGGAGGGGGGTCATTCCCCTCGGCTGAAAGAGCAAACCGGTAGGGGCGATTATCGATTTTGGCCCGCGGGCCAGAAGTTGGACAGGCCTGGTTTAGATAACTAATAACGAACAATTGAACAGTGTGTATATCCAGCCCACCCTGTATGTAGCTACGTCGAACACGTAGTCTACGTAATTAGAGCTCGCTTAATGTAGTATATCGGGAAATTTAGCCCTCTATAACCACAGACGAGATATAAGAATAGACCTAACATCACAGACGAGATCGTCTGTGCTTAAACGTAACATGTAACTGTGCGTGTGCATATCCATACACGGTGATATATGTAGTTATTCTAAGAGACTAACTTTCCCCTGAAAATGCACGTGAAAGAGCGTGGGGTTGTCAGCGGACTGGAATAAAATGACGTTATCGTAAAACTGGATTAGCAAAACTCGTCTGATCCTAGGCTCGATAGCTAACAGGTTAAAAACTTCCTTTCAACATAGATTGGGCGAAATGAAAGTTGTTAATTGAAAAAATACGATATTTGGGATGCAGAAATCCGAATAACAAGCGTCTAGCGGTAATGTATGGCAATTTAATAGTGGATTCTTATCAGAATAACATTAACTTCTGCATGGTTGAATGAATTAACTCAAGGCTCCTCGAAACTTCGCAACTATTCAACATTTCACTCTAGATTGAATGACATGTACGAAAATTTGTCTTTAAACAAATCGGAAAACGTTCACCTGTACTTAAAATAAATGAATATAGTAATTTATGCAAATAAAAAGCATTTTTGTAGTAAGAAACCAATTTATGAGGGGCTGAAAACCATTCCGCCGTGCCACGACAGCTCCAAAGTCGATCCGAATTCGTCGCACTCATCGAGAGATTACTGTATATTTCAAAAAAATAAAATCTTAAATCTATTAAAGTCCATTGATGTAACATGTCGAATACAAGAATAGGAACTTTGTGTTACATGTATGAAAATGCTTATATGTATCTATAATTTCTTAACTCCCAGTTAGCATAGTTTAAAATATTTATCAGTAATTGCATAATAAATGTTCTATCGATCTTTCGCAGCTTTTAATTCTTACATGCTAGTCTGGATGCTTTGATTTAAATTTTTTGGTACAAGTATATGTTATTGCATATTACAGTTAACATTCTTCTTTTACTTGTATCTAGAATTTATTATATGTGTCACAAAATAATTAAATTAAATTAAATTACAGCAATAATTAAATAAAGATATTCTTGCTGCCATCTGTGAAGGTCCTACGCCATTACTGAATGCCGACTATCCGTCGGTACATACGAGATTCGAATCTTTTTGCTCTTCTCTGTGCTGCCGCTAGTGGAATTTTACAGTACCACATTTATATTTAATAAAATCTGAATAAAAATTTTTTCTGTGTTTCCATAAAGCTGCTTCAAAAGTGTAGATTGTTCATTAAACCACATTAGAAACTTAATTTTTATGAAGGAGAACTGATATTTAGAATTAAATTACATATGGTTTAACAATTATTCATATTTTTAAGCTATATTTATAAAGAGATTTATGTAGTACCTTAACAATCATAGTAAGGAGTTGATCGACACAGATTATGCAGCAGCATATTTCTAAAATGAACTGAAAGGAATCAACTAATGGACATTTACAATTAAAACTACCAAACCAAATGTTATATTGACTTCAATATGGACTGGATTTATCACTTGTAATATTGAAAATTTATAATCACTCAATGTATAGTATATTTAACAAACAGTGTTGATATTATTGTAAGTTACTGAGGTTAGTATAACTCATAAGGTCTTTAAATCTGCCTCATAAGGTCTTTCATTTATCTAATACATCTAGAAAAATATTGCTGATGTCAGTACACGACATGTTTCATTTATCATGACAATTGTACAGTTTTTCATTTATCAGACACACCTACAAAGGGTTTCATTAAAAAAGTTATACAAGACGCTTAATCTTTCCTGTTCATTTACATGGTATTGTAAAATAGAATCAATATTTATTCTAATTCTTTTATGATGAAAAGAAAAAATCAAACATCTTACATAATCTCATTCGAATTAGACGAATTTCATTCAGCCACTTATTTTCTACCAATAGAACAAAAGAAAACAAATACATTCAACGATCGATTTAAACAACAACAAAATGAATGAATTTTTCATTTAATATTTCTCAAATTTATGTACATATAAATAGTTTCTTTGTACCGTATTGATTTGTCTGCGTATTCTGTCCCTGTAAAGGAAAAACAAGAATTTCAATAAGAAAATCAAATTCACTTAAATAAATAAGCACTTCATGGTGGTTGCTTCCGTGCGAAGATTACGAAATGTTAATTACTTTTCATTGAGAGTCAACAGTGTATGTGGTCTCAAATTGAATATTCTAAATTAGGTAATTTTTGAAACGTTTTCTGGGTTTGCATCGGAGGCGTCGAAATGGATGTTGACGAAGACAAATTAGACAGCCTCGAATTCAATGGGGCTTTAGGAGGCAACGAGCTGATTTTGCTCTGCTTTTTTATGTTCCGTTCGACTGCGTGGTTTCCACTGTGGGGCCGACCTGAACGTTATAGATACAGCAGGTCATAAAAATGTTTGGTTTCAGACTTTGACCTAAACTATTTTTAGTAAAATAGTTTTAAGTAACAATCATTTCAAATATTTTATTGTCAATAACCGGAGAGAAGGAATTTTATTTTAAATAAAAACGGAAAAGGTATTGTAGATATTTTCTTCAATAAAATTCTTCAGCAAAAAATTCAAACGAAAGTTTCGGTGTGAAAAATGAACAAATCAATGCAATATCGAAAATTTGTCAAAAAAAGAAGTACAAGTAAATGAAACAAAAAATGGTTTAAATAACAGGAAATGAATAAAAATGTCTTGATCGAGAACAGGACAGCCATATTGCACACAAATATTTACACAATAAATACATACCAGAATTACCGTCTTCTTGAATGAGTGAAGCATAAATTATACAGACATAAATGTAATCTACATTCCAAATCAGCATGAATAAACATAAATTGAGAACATATAATTATAAGATGTAGTGCCAAAAGTAAAGTACATTTTGAGCTCATTCAAAAGTGTTAAGAATGTAATGCAAAGAATGCAGAAGCTCCGTGCTTATAATCGAATATCTATAATCGAAGTGAAAAATGGCAAGATATGAAAAATGAAGTCGAAAACACAAAATAATTACTGGATGTTTAAGTAACAATGGATGTTCGCTAAAAATTGATAATGCACAAATGACATCGATAATGAAAATAATTACTCTGTATACGGAAATTATTATACAGGGTGTTCAATGACAGATGTCAGAAAATTTAAGGGGTAATTCTAGATGTCAAAATAAGACAAAAATTAAGAGTATCAAAACTGCCATTGATTTTGAGTTATAAGCACTTAAAAATTAAGGTGGTGCCTTAAAGTACACAACGTTCTCGAGTATTCTTCCCCTATTCGCCCAGGTATTCACGCAACAATTACGAAAAGATGCGCAATTCGGGAACATATTTCCTATTCGACTATCTTCGGTGGAAGCAATGACCTTGGAAAAGTGGGGACCGATGTGCACAGGATTGGTCTTTTCCATGGAAGAATTTCACAACAAATTCTCTTGACTCCTCGAAGTATATACAACACGGTTAAGAACTGTATTCTTGTATTGATCTTTTAACTGTTTCTTCGGTGTAATTTAGTGTAATATTGTTTGGTGTAGTTACCGTAACATTTCGGTGGATATTTGCGGTGTATTTGTAACCTTACTAATCAATACTTGTTGTGTATGTTTAAGACGTTTAGTAAACATTGGCTGTTTATGTACGAATCCTGTAGTTGATATTTATTATGTACGTGCAAACTTTTTGATGGACACTCGCTGTGTATTTGTTAACTTTTGGTGAATACTTCCTGTGTGAACGCAAATTTTTTGGATTTTGGCCCGTAAGGATTTCATAGAATAGGTACGTTTAATACTATGCAAGAATTTCCTATATTTTCTAGAAGGTATGCTTGTGGTCCCCGCCGACTATTTATGGCACTGTGAGCCCCTTTGTTCAGTTGTCCTGTGCTTGCGGGTGTCTGCAGATTGCCTACTTTCGACCTGATAACTCTAAAACAAATTGTAAGAAACGACAGCTCAACGACAATTCTGTTACACTTATTTTCGTCTTATTTTGGCATGTAGAATCGCCCCTTAATTTTTGTAACACCTATTATCGAACAAATTGTATACTTCTTTTTAATCAGTTGTATCAAACATAAGAATTAGTGCAACGATTACGGAATATCTAGAATAAACGGGTATTTTCAAGTTGATCTGCATAAATATGAAATAAATTTACAGTTGCCTGCATACAATTCACGCAAACTATGAATAATGAATAAATCAGCTTACAAATAACGAATACATGAATATCTACTAATTGTAAGTAATATGTATCATTTTTTATGAAATGCATCTTCCTACATTCTTGATTTTCTTTAAGTTTTAAAGTGATGGTATTGAATTTAACAAAAATGGAAGATTCAGACTTGGATAACCTTGAATTTGTTACTTTTCTTTCAACTCATTTAATATTTGTAGAATAATATCAGATTCTCCATCTTGTTGGAATTGAATGTTTTCGAATTTGTTACAATTAGTGATTCACATATGAATCAATACTGCCGCAAATTCTGATACCGTATCGAATAATATCAAACATATGTATAGGCATCAAACGTAATGGATATCCGTTTGATATTGTACAAATGTGTCAATACCTACTTGATACATTTTAACATTATAGTTACTCATTTGATACTTCACTCAAAGTATTGATAGATATCTTAATAAGAGAAGTTACATTTTATCGATTAATCAAAAGAGATATGAAAATGATAATCTCATGAAAAATTTGTATTTGTTCCACATTTCGTTAGATATTAAAAGGGTGTCGATACCTTCGTGAAATATCAAACGAATATTTTTTCGATATAGTACTTATATTAGTATGGTATTGCTTCAAGAAGTGCCAGTATCGAAAACTGATGCCAAGTACCTAAAATTTCATGTACCATTCGATAGTTCCCATTGAGTACTTTGGTATCGAATTCTTTAAATATCATGAATATTGTATACCTAAAATGTGTCCCACGATAAGTGCCGTTTGATACAACTACTGAACGGTAGGTGATAGAACAAAAATGTAAGGAGACTTTTATTATTCGTTTTTATGAAGAATGTCATCGTGAAGAAAGTATTTACCTTCAATTTTTCAAAGTAGTACTAAGGTCATCTCGCGATATTTTAAAACGAATGCTACATTTTTGTTTTGGTACTGTTTTAGTGCAGAGACAAAAAAGTTAAGCTTATGTCTTTGAAATGACATTGACAAAAATATAATATTACATTTAAAAAAGAAACACGAAATGATCTTAGTATGCCCTTGAAGAAAGGTAACAGATTTGTTCATGATGATATTCTCCATAAATAATGTTGATAAAAGTGTCCTTACATTTCCGTCGTATCACCTACTGTGCAGTAGTTGTGCCAAATACCTACAATTTCTTTTGACTTTCGATTATTTTGTTACAATCGAACAGAAAACTTTAAGAAAAGGCGCAAAAAGGAAAGTTAAACTGTTGAAAGGGCCACAATTGTAAAATTGAACAATATAGAAATAACTGATATTTTGTTACTTTCCTCTAAACTGATTCAACATTCTTGAGAAAATGCCAGGTGCGTTATCTTCTGTAGCATTTTTCTCCTCGTTATTCCCATTATTGGGATGTCGACGCAAAATACGGCTCAGAGATCCGGCTCGGGGAGGGAACAGTTTTTTCGGTGATCCATTTTTATCCACGAGCTTCAACATTCTGCCGAGCGAATTGCTTTTCTCTTGTTTGGACGGTATCTTGTTGTAGTTGTCCACGGATTCGATACCGCTCTAACGAAAATGTTCCTCATATTATTTGTATAGAGTACGCTATGTTAATTAACTTAACTTTAATTATTACATAACGAATTCCATGTATACATGCTCGTGACATGTGACAGAAATTACTACTCTAATAAACATTATTAAATCTTTTTGTTTGATTTCTAACTTATTTTTTGGCGACAGTTATTGAAATTGTACCGTAGCAATTATTATGAAATATTGAATTTATGTTAATGTTACAATTTATAGGCGTATTAATAATAATTATATAAGTATAATTTATCCATTATTAGTACTTTATCAAAATTATCGTGATACAGTACATTATGTTTTTTTGCAATAATCTGAAGCTAACAAGAGATCGGTGTAAGACAGATAACAATGACATTCTGCTCTCATGTTTAAAAATATTAAAAATAATAAATATGAACACACATGTCAGCAATATCGTATTTAATGTATGTATAATGAATAAACTTCAAAAATCTATTTTTTTTTAAGTGAACCCACGTTTTAAACTATTTCATTATAAACTTTCACTTCGCATTGACTTTTGCATGAAGAATTACCGTCTTCCTAGATGTATAGGATTTTTGGATACACCCGTTGTAATAAATATAATAATATGTAACGAGTAATTGATAAATGTAAGTTTATATTTTTTTATATTCAGGAAATCATACTCAACAATACTATAAAATACTGAAGACTGGAATCATCTGTTTGTTCGTTTCTTTTAACATTAAATTACTTACCACAGGACTATCTAAAGATGATTTCTCCAGCACCGGTGTCTGCGAGCGATGTCTAAACATTTTTCCCATTCTGTTCAACGTAACAGTCTTTAATTTTCTAACATCTTGTCTAACACTTTCAGCTCTTGACATCCTGTGAGCTAATATCGATGATTCGTCTTGTTCTTCCTGTTCGATCTTTCCTTTGCTCGTGCCTAACGCAAAAAAATTTTCATGAAGTGATTGAAATTGTTAGAATATAACAATAGTAATTATAATCCTTTCAAATATGTCCTTAACGAGATACAGGAAAAAGAAATACCACAATCTTGGGGCCCCAGATCTACTAATCATTTTAGAACGTGATTAGTAGATTTGAGATAAATTCGTATTATTGATATTATTATTAACATTTTGGGACATGATCAATTTAGAACTGTACAGACAAGTAGCGAAACATGATACAACGGTCATGCTATTTGCATCATTATAACTATAACTTATAATCATAACACTACGGATGTATGAAAATTAATATTACTGTACTTTAATTTATAACAAAAGGAATGTAAGGAGAATGTTCCTTAGCTGTCAAGGAATTCTAGACTTCATTAGAGACCTGGAAAGAAGCGTGTCCCCTACATATGGCAACCCAAATCAGGCTACACACATTTTGAAGAAGTCTGCATGACCATCGAAGTGTCATAAATCCAAAGTGTCGAGACGATAATGTCGCAGTTGGATTTACAAGCGATCGTCCCAAAGTGTAACGCTTTCTTTACCCTTTTCTATGTCCATGACCTTGAGTGACCTTCGGTGACTGGTCATTGAAATCATCTTAAGAAGGGCTACAATCGTAGGTGTTTAAAAATACAGGCTTTCCCGTAACAAAGTCAAGGTGACCTTGAAATCTCCTGCGCACCTTCACGTTTTGATCACCGTTTAATGGTCACTTAGGAACCAAACAGCTTTTGTTTCAAATATTTCTTCCTATCTCCAACCCTATCGAAGTTATTCAGATTGCTTTTCCTAGCTGATTCACTCTATACATATAAGCTAAAGACGTCGATTGTTTAATCTATCATGTTATAGACACAGGTCCCTCGTCATATTCTTTTGTTAGATTGTTTCATTTTATAATGATTAATGCCACCGTAAATTACTTATCGAGTCTTTCCTTTTCATTTCGTATTTAAGACACCTATTTCTCTTCGTGACTATATTACTTAAACTTGTGCACTAAAACGTGCACAAAATGAGGTAGACGACGACCCATGGCATCCCTTGTTTGTTCAATCGACCGATAAACTCAACAATTTCTTGCTGTAACTTGATTATCTAGAGGGATGTTTCCATCTTCGATCATTTTCACGCATGACTAGCCAAATATATTCGAATAAAGAAGGAACAAAGGTTCCACAACTGTGTGGTGGTCGGAGGAAAATACATTGCGCAAATATATTTTCAAAAATTCTGAATTCAATGTCATAGCAGATAGCTTAACAATATTCACAAATTAACTGAATGAACCGCCTAAAGTAGACTATTTAATGTAACTTGTGTATACGTCAGGCTATAATTCACTTTGTTTATAATTAGACAATTGTGTTTGATTTAATTACTAACAAGTATGGCCTGCTTGCTGGTAATTAATCCCTATTTAGTCAGATAATTAGTAATACGTATTACATACGAACAGCTAACAATTTAATTAACTGTCTCCTTTACTTAAAAACGATGTTTTTTATCGAAAGCGCAAGTTCCTTGATTGACATGAGTAAACAACAAATTTTACTCTCAATTGAACGACGTGGTTTACACGGTCAACATCTGTTAAAAAGTTGCAGGAAACAAATGAAAATATTAAAAACCCAACAGCCTGTTACACTCGTGTCAAATCGTATAAACTTTTACGATTTTTTACGCAAACTTTTCACGACTTTTTACGTGGAATCGTAAAAGTTTATATGATTTCAGGGACAATATTATTTTTTTCAATGACGTTGCTAAATATGTTGTGGTACCGTCTTGGCAATTCGAACAAAACGATTGTTAGCTAACGAAAGACTGATCCCGATGGAAAATTTCTAGATAATCGTGAATGTATATAATCAGACCATTAATTTAAAAAACAATCGTAGAATGTTGAACGTGGTGCCTCTTCTTGCTCATGCGATTCAACCAGTGCGTTTTAGGTCCTTCTTTGTGTTACGTAACGAAATCTTTCGCGAAGAAAATGGAATGAATTGAAGCGGAACGAAATCAAGATTCGATTCACGTATCGTAGATACAGTGTTGGCTAGAGGCACGAGATTGACTTATAACAACAGATACAGGATCGTTTCATGAATACTTGGCCAGTCTTACAAAAGAAAAATGGGAGAAAGTTTTCAGTTAGTTCAATTTCATATTTACATTTAAATGGAAAAGAAACGCATAATAAAATAAATACTTTACACACGTAAAATATCTCTAGACTAGATCGTGAATTACCTTGGAATACAAACCTGCACTGGCTTATGTACGGAGACTGGAATTAAACATAAGTTTTTTCGTTTTATTAATTATTAACTATTACAATTTCTATCAGGTTGAAAATTAAAATGCAATCTCTTTAAACTGTACCACCTATTTTAATTTATGTACTGATTCTGAGTTTAAGATATTCTTTTGTGTTATTAATACATAGATCTGACATTTTAATAATAATAAATAGTACCGAAGTAAAATACTTGAACCTGCATGCCTGATTGTCCATTTTAATTAACGTTTTAGGACATTTGTATATCATGCTCGATTTATTCTCTTATTTTGTAATTTATTTATTCATCGTTAGTATGATACTTGTATATCTGACATTGTTTCATTTTGACAATGTCATATTTCACATTTTTTAAAACATTTCTTTGTCTCTTTGTATTTGATCTTTTATTCATATTTATTGTAGTTTTAATTATCCGTTCTCCTGTCACAGTAAGTATATTACTTAGTAGTATACTATATTTCTATTTGATTCCTGTTTCGTAAATTTGCATTAACATTTAGAGCACTCAGACGGATCACTTTCATCTCAGTCTCTTGGAAAATCAAATTAACAAATATCAAGGCGACAAAGTATCAAAAAGTAAAACATTAAATTGTCGTTACTAACACAAAGGAAGGTTGATGGCCACAAGTTCAATCCCATCAAGCCTTCCCGCCATAAAAAGAAAAGTTAAATTCGATGAACAGAAACTTTTATCGGATAGTGCGTTTCGGCTTCTACCATGAAGATTGCAGGATCAAATCAATTAATCTCATTAACTAATCTAAACAGCATACGGATTAAGGAAATTGAGTTACCCACACTTTTCGTGGCTGCAGAATTTCCACGAGCAGTTACTTTAACCGAAGGAATTTACAAAATATTTTTAAATTGTTCATAAATTTTTATGTTTTTCGATCAAAGTTTGAAAAGACTGTCACGTTTAAACGGTCAACTTCAATTAGAGTTCTGTCCTCGGGCCATTTAACGAGTTAATAATTTTTTTTATCGGAGTATCGATTACTGCCTTGCAGAAGTATAGAAATACCCGTGCTTCAGCCATTCTCCCAATTGTAGCGACAAAGAGTAATTCCACGACCAATTTTATAACAAGGTTTCATTCACTTCCATTGCATCGTCACAGCGCTTACGGGCGACCTTCGTAGGTCATCTGGAATAGCGGCGTGTTTATAACATGTAAGTGAGTCACCTGATGCATAAATTTTCCAACTACTTTTGGACTGAACGTTTAATCACATCTTCTTTCCAAATACCTTACACAGAGTGTTTCAAATATACGAGTATTTAAGGCGATACACTACCTTATAGACCTAAAAGCATAGATACATTAAACATTTTTTCTCAGGTAATTATTGAGTAAAATATTGGGATCATTTTAAACGATTTTAGGCAACATTGTTACTTTATTTTCATACATTGATTATTATTTAAAACGACAAAGTGTCGTAGTTATATAATATTGTCTACCGTTATGTGTGACGACCTTGTCAGCTGGCACACTAATTAATTTATATTAATTTGCGATTAATTTTAACTATTATTCTTTATAAAATTACCTACAATATAGTGTAAGGTTCTTTTAAAATTTCAGTTTATTGAAATTTCTATGAATTTTCAAACTTGATATCCTGTAGTGAAAAGAATGTTTGTTCTTCATAAAGCTGCCATCCTTTTAACTTTTATAATTATTCAAAAATAATATGCTATATTGTGAATCAATTTTATACGAACTAATGTGTCCAAATTTAAAGTTACTCGGCTGAATAGTTTCGGAGATCTGCTGTGTTAGCTGACAATATCATTTTATAATTGTAAATAATAACTACGTACGAAAATCAAGCTAATAATAGTTGTCTGTTACCAACCAGTCAACCCTAACAATTGCAAAGACGTTAGTATGCACTGTAAAAAAGAAATAGGGAACCGCAATAATGATATTCTGTAGAATATTTCGCGATATTAATCAATTTTAATGAATCAGTTGTATTAAGCACATAGTTAAATAAAAAATTTTAGACGATGTATTGTACAATAACCCCTTGAAGCACAGAACTCTTTTTCCCGCAAGATTTATTTCACATTGGGATATTTATGTTTGAAACCATGGTCAGAAAGGAAATTGAAAATTGAATGGTTTCAGATAAATTTAATCGGCCTGAAGAAATTAATTTACGTATAAAACATATACATAAATTCTTCAAACTTATATGATCTTTAGATTGAAACTTTCCCAGTCCCATGGAGTGTATGCTTCAATATCATTTAACCAATCTTCACCTAAATTTATTATAAGAAATACTTTCTTTTAAATATTAGAGCATATTGTTTAATTTAGCATAATTTAGCATAAATTTAACTTAGCATTAGTCACCCTCGTTAACCCTTTTCACTCGTAAAGATACATACAATGTATAATCGAATATAGGGATCAGAGAAATTAGTGTTTTATATAGAAAAATATGTATAATACTGTAGAACCTTGATTATCCGAAAAAATCACGGGTACACAATGTTCCGATAATCAACTCTTTCGGATAATTGAATAACCTTATTTCCCATGAAATAACGTGTCTCTCGAAATATTTTGTTGATTTTAATGTTAAACAAAAATTAAGTAATTTCCGTCAGTCTCAGTTTTCGTTACTAAGTTTTTCTGACATCATACTACCATGAATCCATTCACAAAAAACTGACAGAATTGTCCAACTGTCTTCTTCTTTATTGTTGTGCAATTCATTACTGAAAAAACAATTTGAACGATGAGATAAAGAGGAAGGTGTTTTTGTAAATGACTATAACATTTGTTTTTGATACAGTTTCACTTGTTTTGTAGAGAAAGAATCATAATTTTTGACACTACGTATACGCCAAAATTGCGACCACTGTTGCTTATGAGGTACATTCGTTCTCAAATATGAACAAATTTTTACTATTTGATAAACTTCTTTATAAAGGAAGATTTTACTCTTTGGGCATCGAATTAAATAACATCGAACAAAAATGTAAAAAAGTAGAAGTTTCAAGCTTTAATCTGCTTTTCATTCAAACAACATTTCATGAATATTAGCAAAGTTATGGATCATTGAATTTCGACAATTTTTCACTAGTGCACAAGTCAGACAATACTTTTAGCCAATAATGTATGTATATGCTGAATGCACAAGGACAATATACATATACGTGTATTTATAAAATGATACAGCTAATAAATTAAAAGTCGAATTGAATTTAGAATCCGTCATTTTTTTGATATTCTGTTCTATAATTACTTATTCCGTACCTTTTAAAAGGGTAAATATAATTATATAGTTACACAAGCGTGGAAACTTTAAGTACGAAGAAATCGAAACACACAAGTGCCAGCGAGAATTGATATTAAAACTTCATAAAGGAGGAAAATCCTACAAAGAAATAGCCGATCTTATTATTACTGGAAGTAAATCTACAATCCATTGATTTATAAAGGAAAATGGTAAACTACAGGGACTCTTAGAAAAGAAGTCCGTAAAGGCTGTCGAAGGGAGTTGACTCATCGAGAAGGAAGCACTATTATTCACGAAGTAGAAAAGAATTCGGGTATATCAACTCGAAGACTTGCGGACACGACGACTGTAGAAAACTCTTGCGATAAAACGATTTACATGGTAATGTTGCAAGAAAAAAAAGATACTTTAATAAGACAAACAAGACTGTAGGCTCGTCGTGAGTTCGCATCATAACAAAACCTATGCAATATGCATATAAAAAATCATTGCATATTCTGGAAATCTTTTAGAATTAATCTTATCGATTAGTGTTCCAGTTGTTTCAAATCAATACGTTCCAACAATTTCTTTTAATCAATATGTACACCGACGAGCAAACTCGGCTTCCACTAGGGGAAAAAGTCACGTAGGGAAGTTTCCCTAGCGGAAGCCGAGTTTACTCGCGAGTGTACGTAAGTGCGTCAGAAATAGAGACAGATAATGTGTGTTTCGTTTTCGGTTTTTAATATTTAAGGAGTCAGTTGGATGGGGCGAGGCAAATAGCGCAGATTGAGAAAGTTTTTTGTGCGAATTCGGCAAATATTATATTAGCTAGTTATATCAGCGAGTTATATTGACGTTGCATTTGTCATTCAGTTGTCCATTGCGTTTAAATAAGCTATTTTTGCAAATTGCAAGTATTATCTTTACCTTGATGTCACGAGGAATTTCATAAAATTAATCCCTACAAAAGAAATATTAAATTTTGCTGCAGAGTATATTAGTAAAGAAAATTCATCATTTTTAGTTTGGATGGACATAATACCTACTTCCAAGCTTGTTTAAACTTTTAAATTGGACATTTAATATTCAAACGTTGCTTAAAGTACGTCCAGCAGGCTGTATAGTAGTCAGTGATACAGGAAATATTTATCAAAATTCCAATTTTAATTATTATCGATGGAATTTTATGCAAATACAAAGTTTTTGCACATATTAAAAGAAAATCTTAAACAAAGTGCTGAAAAACTAGGTTTATTGCAACCTTTTTTACTTTCAGGAAAATAGTGATCAGAAGCACACTATTTGGATTGTAAACAAATAAGATTACACAGTAATAAAAAACGGATTTAAGACTTAGGTGCTTATAATAATCCCCGAGAACAATAAAAAGTGTCTAATTAACATGGGCCCTAAAATCAAATCTTTTGGTGTAAAATTAACTTTTATATTTACGAAGGTTCGATATCGTGAGTTTTTTCGCAACGTATTGAATGCAAACAGAAAAATTGGTTTATAGGTGCATGAATTCAAAATTGTCTGATAAAAGGCAATACGGGACACGGAACGAACATTTGAAAATGTACGCCGACCTATAATCCGCGAGTGTAAATTTTGCATTGAAATGGAAGAGTGAGATATAGAGCAGCTCTAACAAATCAATACAAATTATTGTATTTTTCTTTGATATAAGCATGTACCGATGCAAAAAAGCAATTCCTTTGTATTCTATAGACATTTCTTTCGTAAATCCAACTCACACTAGCTCTATTCAATGTTAATTTTATTCACTTGTAAATGGTGAAAACATTTTAATAAGTTGAAATTTTTAAATTGAACTGAGTTCAATGTAAATAACCAATCAAAACATAGGCATGAATGTTGTTTTTCGATAATTCTTCTGTTCGGTGATGTACCTAATCATTATCTAATAATTTCAGAACATCGTCTCTCACCAAATTTCTAAAGCCAGTCGTGTTACGAGAAATTATAAACATTGTCTGTTAATTAACTGGTTTTTTTCATGGACATGTGCTTCTGACATAATAGTTCTGATAAAAACGATGTGATCGAATGTAATAAACTTTCTTTTTCTCATATGTTAAACAACACCGTTATGATATTCTAAAGTTCTGTTAATCGATCCTCTAGTAAGACAATTTTCTGTTAAACGATGCGTTATGATAATCGATCGTTCCGTTAATTGGTGGTTCGATAGTCAAGGTTCCACTCTGTTAGTCTTTTTCAGAAGATTGTCTGTTGTTTCATTAGCGATCAGTCAGAATTGAAACGAATTAATGAAGAAACATACGTTTGCCTCTAGAAAATCAATTTACTTACTCAATGGCGGTCGTAAAGCTGTTGATTGTGAATCCTTAATTACTTCCTGCTCTTCTACTAGACGTATTGACCTGTTGATTTCAACCATTCCAGTTGCTTCTGTCATTGATCCCTAAATGAAAATTTGGTGTTAAGCTTTCTGTTTTATTTCTTCATAATTGGAAGGCATGTTTGATGTTTATGCAATTATAACAGATAAGGTAATACCTTGTCTTTTAACAACATTCATTAGAGAAATGAATTTGCATAAATAACGAGTCCGTTCTATCATAATTAGAAGAATTGTGGAAGCAAAATCGAATATCAGTTTCACTTGACCCTTACTTTAATCATGCAGTACGTCGATTTACTGTTAGGCATAAGCTACACAGACTTTTCTCGATTATCGTCCCGAACTGGGGTCTGCATCGGGACAATAATCTTCTAGGAAGAAATGCTTCAGACCTTCGTAAATTCATTCTTTTCCCGAAGCCCGTGCTTCGGCAACAAAAGCGGAGGGGCAACAAAATATGCACTTGACAGGTTCTACGTCCCTCCTCCCGCCCCAGTGGTAGGAATAATGCCTGGACAATAATCGTGTAGAACAAGCCAGACGATAATCGAGAAAAGTCTGTACTCTCAGAAGGGAACATACTGAAGCACCAATCACCAATTTTTATGAAACTTCGTTAGAAAATAGTTCTCATGAAAATATTTTACATGTATTTCTTTTTAGCTGCCATCATCCATATTGAAGGGGCGAAAACAGCCATTAAAATCAAAGATCTAAAATATAGTAGGTCGAATATCTCGCAAACTATTACGGGTAGAAAAACAATTTTAATTACAATATTGTGTGGTTTTTATAAGGTATCCAGCTACAGTATTAGATTCTACAATCCATTTGTTTAAATAATATGATACATTAATAAATATCATTTTTTGTTCATTTTTCGAATCAAACGTCAATCCATTTTCTTATACATTTGTATGTAGAAACTATATACACAAATACAAATTTCGGATCAATTGGAATTTTTATTTCTGTACTACTAAAACGGTTATTATATTTGAAGTTTTCTCGTGTTCTGTGCAAGACGGAGTACTTGAATGCGTGTAATGAAGCAGGTAGGGAACTTTTACTAGTTTTAGATAATTGTAGTACAGTATTCAGTAGAATATACTAGGTAGTTTACAGTTACCTACATTGCACACCTCTGCCGTAAGTCGGCATAAGAGATGCATAGGTAAGGCATAACAAAGAAGCGATGCTCGAGATAGGTATACAACCGTCAAGCATCAAAATCGATGATTGTCACTTCAGTATGCTCCCTTGTCAACGAAGCAGTATTTCTCAGTGCGTCAAATCGAGAAAATTGAACTTACAAAGGAAAGTCGGTAACCCGAAGATTCCGATTTTTTTTAAACTTTGCAGATTTGTAGGGGACCTCAAGAGAAGTATAGCGCAATTCTTGTTTGTGGCCCAATTTCAATTCTTCAGGGTGAAAATATCTCTTGTGTTAATAAAAACCGTAGATATAAAAAAATGGTTATAATAAAAATTGAATAGTTTTTATGCTCTATAAAACGATGCAATTAAATTCATAAAAATTCTTTACTTAAAAACATCCCCCCTACCTTTACTAATTATCAATTTAATTGCATCGTTTTGTAGAGCATAAAAAACCATTCAATTTTTATTCTAACCATTGTTTTATATCTACGATAGTTTTAATGATATACAGAGAAATATGGTAACACCTATCTACCTTCAAGGGATGCTTTCACCCTGAAGAACTGAAATTGGGCCGAAAACAAACATTGCGCTATACTTCTCTTGAGGTCATCTACAAACCTGCAAAGTTGAAAAAAAATCGGAATTTTCGGGTTACCGAACTTCCCTTGTTAGTTTCCGCGTCATAATTGAAACCGAACATTTGTAGAGACCTTTGTTACTTAAATACATTTAAATTCATTTCGACTCCATTCAATATCTATGTATATTTTCAGCATAAAGCGAGCCCAAAATGATACACTTTTATCTCTCAAATTGTACCGAGCCATAAAGCTACCTGGTCATATTAAAATTCCTAGCAGCTACCTACAATTTAGCTGTAGTGTAATCAACGACTTCCAACCTCGTAGCGGCTCTTTACAGTTTAGCTGTAGGTTCATCCGCAACAATCAACTTTCCTAGTGGCTCCCTGAACTCTAGCTGTAGGTTTATCCGTGTCATCTATTTACCTTCCTGTGACTACCAGTAATAAACAGGCACTGGATCGTCCGCTACTAACAACTAACAAACTCTAAACGCATGCCATTCCTCGACTTCGCAGACGCTCAGTCCTGGCTGGTAACACAGCATTGTACTAATTAGAGTACAGTAATTAAATATAAAAAAAAATATAACAGAAATATAAAGAAATTTATAAAAAGAAAAAGAATAAAAATATAATAGAATGAAAAGATCTAATTCATGAAGAACTAAAATAGGAGTAATCAATAATCTTGCAAATTTGAACCACGTAAATGGAGACATTCGGTGCATTAACAGTGCATTAACACTGGTTTTTGTTTCGATATAGTCCTCTCTTATTTGTCATCTGGTGCAATTACAAGTTACCTTTAAAATATACAAAAAGAAACATATGATGAATATCCATTGGCTCGTATCTTCGTTACTCGAGTTTTGTGTTTTAACAATTTTCAATTCAGAACTAGAAAATAAAATTTATGATAAAATGTCAAATAAACTAAATTGTTCCTCTCTGGTATCAAAAAAGTGTTTTAACTCGTTTTCAACGTTTGTCGCGTTTGCAATCGCCGATTTCATAAATGGTCGTCTGTTGCCTCACTGTATCATCTCCGAATACGGAGGATATTTTTCGAGTGGTCTCTGAAACCCTGGTGCCAAATTTGAATTCATAAAGTAAACCAGCCCGAGTAATTGCCACTGACATAGTCATAGTGGTCACTTTTTCAAAACATTAAATTAAATGATTCATTTCCGGAAAAGTTACACACAGCTAAAATCTCTGTTAAATAAGCACATATAACTCCACTTTCAATTGATATAGTCTACGCATGTGCAGTTTGTCTGTGACAAAACCTAGAAACGGCACGAACCTTCTCGGTTACCTGATATTACAGAATAACTATTTTGATATAGGAGGTTGTTGCATTAAAAAATTATTTTACATTATTGAAATTTTTACAGGTGTTCATCTGACAGACAACGTTTTCAAGTATCAAAGTTCAGTTACGTTAAAATTCATTGAAATTTCCAGTACAACTCAATCGTAGAAAAAAGAGATTACATAAAGATAGAAGTGGATCAATGTATGTGTGCTGAACATTCATAGGTTAGCAGAAATGGATGTAATTCGTTAGATCTTGCTTTACCCAATAAAGTCCGTTTAAAATTCGATAAGCATGAAGCTATTACGTGACTCACTGATTCCCGTCGCTTCAACTCTTCATAACCTCGATCCTCCGTGTCTGCCGCTGCCATTTCAATTTTTTCCGCGAGAATTCGATAGACTCTGATAACCAGACCTCGCAAAATCCAACCGTCCTGTGTGGAAAATGATCCTGTCTCGATGTTATGGTTCGACAGTTCTATCATATGCAGCCATTTATCTCGAATGATAGAAACTCGCGAAACTATAACAACAGCACAATTTCTGAAACTCCAACGGGGATATTTCGCTATCTATAGGCATATAGATGTGTTTCATTTATTATATCTACAAAATGTGTTACAAAACTGAAAGTACAAATTGTATTAGTTCACATTATTCTTCGAAATAAGCCGAAAAAATTTCAAGATACGCTTACAAGATCAATAGTTTAGAGACAGTCAATGTTTTCAGTTCAAATCTGTGAGAAATGTTAACAAAAATTTATAATTGTTTTTAGAAAAAAGAAACAGTACTTTTGGCACTATTAATTTCTAGAAAAGTGCTGCCCAAGTAAGGGGAGATTCTGGAGGGTAAATGATCGACACTGATGAAAATTTGAAAAAAAGTTATCATTAAAATATTGTACACGTACTTTTTTTATCAGTAAAACGTGTTACTGGAACGGTAAACATATTTTTCAACATTGGGGGTGAAAAGCGTATTCAATAGGAAAACTAAAAAAATTAGTACAGCCAGACTAAAAGTTTACATTACAAAAGTGTCTGCTTTTGAACGACGAGCACAGCTAATATTAAACATTTCCAGAAAATTTCATTCAATGAAAAAGTAGGATTAAATTGGATACGGTTACGTAAAACTTTCATTTCATTTCACACAGATTTGTATGTGTAAATGACAGAAAAACTTAAAAGAAATAAATTACATTTTTGTTTTAACATTTCATTAGCAGCTATGTACACGCTGAGCAAGATGAAGTTATTAAAAGAATTTCTGTAAAGAAACTTTTTATATAATATGTTGAGAATTGGTCACAGAACTCAGGCATGCTGTATATCATTAATCACTCTTTGAATTGAAATTGATGTCGTATAACGATAGGAAGGTACTATTACACTTGATTGATTCACGATCATATCACGATAAATAAACAAAACGATGACTAAGTATTATTTAAAACTTTTAATACCTTCAATCTAAAATATTCTACGTTCATAAGTCTTTCTTAATATTTTCGACGAGTATAGTTAATAGTTAATCTATTCATGGAATTGCAATTACAGTGTAACTACAATAATCATTTCTTTTATTCTCCTTGAATAGACTTGGTGTAACAATTACATACATCAAGCAGTTTCCATCAGACACTGTATAATTTCATTCATAATAAATTTTTACAAATCAAATAGTTTATGTACACTTTAGACATGTTTTAATGAATTTTCTATAAAAGAATAAAATAAAATAATTTTGATTACTGACCCAATAACAAAAAAGAACCCTTAATGAAACAGAATCAGAATTCTGAATGGTGGCAAAAATTGTGGTAATTATTAATACAATTTCAATTCTGTGCATATTATGTTTATAATGTTAATTATACCAAGTGTCATCAAACTGGTGGTACAGATTCAAAATAATTGTACATAAAATCATGAGTTAAGCATGCAAAATCAAATTTTTCGTTAGGCTTCATTTCTGATTAATC